CTGCTGAAGCGTCGACCATTTCTGGCCGGCAACTTTCAGCGTCATTAAGCCGCTGCGCCACTGCGTCCCCCCAGTATAGAGTAGTTTTCAGTAAATGGGTCAGAATCTTCAATTAGATTGCAGTATATTTTAAGCTGATGAACAACATAGTGTCATATAAATATATTATTAGCCATATAGAAGTGAGTGCCTGAATGATTGATTAAAGACAGGTTCCAAAACTCAGGGGTAGGCAATATTGAATTAGGTGGGCAAATGGCCTGACTTGGTATAAATGCAATTTCATGTATTTTGAGTATTATTGTCTGCTTGATCAAAGTTAGAAATAATTTTTTCCACAAGTATGATTTTAATTTTTTCCTAACTATTTGTTCAGAAAACATGTTTGGCTGTGTAGAATTGCCATTTTTATTTTTGTACAATTCAAATGTTATCAGAATATATTTCCTATTGCATGTATGTAGGTGACCACAGTTATCTTTCAAGATTTGCCTGGTTGCAGTCTGTCCACATTATCACAATGTGAAAGGCTTCAGTTCTTGAGTCTTAGACGCTGTGGATTACTTGCCTTGGAAGGACTCAGCAGCTGCAAGGATTTGAAGTATATAGATGTAGAGGTACCATGTATTTTACTGTATGTTGAAGTGACCTATTTTAAATTATAACAGTCTACTCTAAATGCAGTGATTGAGCTGTAAATCTGATGTTTGCAGACTATAATTGGGTTAGCAATTACTTTTTATTTTTTAATATTTTAAAATTCATTTTAACATATATTTAAAAGTGCAACCAAGAAAAAAAGAAGAAAAATCAGAAAAAGAAAGGGAGAAAAAAGAAATAAAAGAGAAATTTACAAGCTGCTGTTTCAAAGTAACATTAGATTATTACTGGTGATCTTATATCAATTTAGCACTTTAATACCATGGTCAGTATCAAATAATAATTAATAAAGGCAGCTACGATAATAAGAATCATCAATCAGAATTAATAAAAGGAGTTTCTTTCTAATTTGAGAAAGCCTGTTCTTGTTATAACAAATCAGTCAAGCTCTAATATTTTAAAGCCTTATATCAAGAAAACTCAACTTTGGATGTGCTTCAAGTCGATGCACAGAATTATAATCTGTAAATGGTTTCCAGGTAAAATTAAATTCAGTAGTAGACTTATTTTTTAATACTCCCAGCTATTACTTTTTAAATCATGCTTTCAGTATGCATAACTTGAGAAATTATAATGCTTCCTAGTGTGCAGATCTCCAATTTTTACAGTATTTGAAGAGAATACGAGGCTCACTTTTCTATTAAAAAATAACACTGGCATTAGGACTTAGAAACTGAGAATTAACTATGAGATCATGCTTCTTCCCCCTCCACCCAAACCATTTCCCCTGAACTGGAGAACAATGTTGTATGTAACTGTGGTGATAATACTAGTTTAAAAAAATACCAGAAACATTCCCAAGCTTACTTTGAGAATCTTTATTTAAAACATCTAATACTAGAGCCAGAAAGAAGGGATTTGTATAAACATGATTTTACGGCCTGCCTCCGATCATTAAATTATTCTTGTTGTCTGAACTGGAACAAATCAGTAATGTTTATTGCAGCATGACTTAAAACACTGGCTGCTGGGAACAAGAGCGGAATGGGACTATTGTTTCTTCTATCAGTTTGTGATGTTCCCAAATGCATTGCATGCTGGACTAGATCAGCCTATGGCTCTAGTAACTCAACAGTTTTGGATGGAACTAGGTGAAAATAAGTTAACTTCTTTCCAGTGTTTTTTCCTAGTTTCACCTCATATTTCTCCAAAAAGAGAATGCTATCAGCAGTATCTGGTGAATTACATCTTGGGTGAGATTTATTTTTTCCAACCCAATGGGAATGTTGGAATGGAATTATGTAAAGGAGATCAGGACTCAATATGTCTGTCCATCAGTGCAATAACTCTAAAAATGGAACTAAATGGAACTAAGTTAATGTGTGGGAGAAGATGGCAATCCAAGAAGCATGGATCGGATTGGGGGCAGTGGAGAGAAAAAGAATTCAGAAAAAGCTTCTGATTCATTCCTATGAAAGAAGCACTTGGACAGTGACTCAAAATATAGCAGATTCTTCCATTTTAAGTCCCCCCCTCTCTCTCCCAGTCACAGGACACAGAGCAAAGCTATTATTGGAAAGAATTCTAGAAGCCACGCTCTGTTTGCATTCCCTACCTTGTTTTTATACTTTATTATTTGCTGCTTCAAAGCTACGATACACATATTAGAAATCAGAGTAATGTAGACAGTGCAATTTTTATAGCCTAAATTGATCAGATGCCAGAAGAATCCTATGAAGCATGTAAAATGTAATCATTGTCCTATAACTCATAGCAATTTTTTCAGAAATACTTATGTAAAGAACTCACAGTTGCACAACAAAAACAATAGTACTGCTTCAAATATTTTGCTATATTGTAGCAATCAATACATGAATATATTTAAATACATTTGAAATGTGAAAATTATGGCTGGAGACTTAAATATGTTTGCATCAGTGTTCTAATTTGAGAAGAATGTTTAATGTGAAAGTAGCACAATTCTGAAAGACACGCTACTATGTCTAAATATTTCTGTAAGATTATTATTGTAGTCAGCCTGATTTTAATGACATTTTATCTGTTTCATTGTAAATTAGAAACTGTCATCCTAAACCTGCTGACATAGGAATCAACTATACTTAACTCAGTGAAACTTAATTCTGAGCAGATGCTCATAGGATTGAAGCATACAATACTTTTTGTTTATTTGGAAATTCAAAGGGAAAAAAAAATAGTGTCCTTTATGCATTTGTTTTGCTTTATTTTTTCCCTAAATAGGAGAACAACATTCAGGTGATTAATTGTGAGAATCTAGAAAATCTCTGCATTCTAATTCTGAATAAAAATAATATTTCATCACTCCATGGTTTATATGGCTGCAATAATCTCTTGAATCTTGAACTTTCCCATAATAAAATAACCCGAATTGGTAAGATATTAATTATAAATAATAGAGCTGCAACCTTTAACATATTAATTCATGTAATTAAAATATTTTGTGTGTTATTAAAAATTAAATCCTATTACTTGTTGAAATCTGTAGACTCTTCGTAGCATGTTTTTTTTTTTTAAGATATATATATATATTGAATAGGTAGGAATCATTTAGTGATACTGAGTTCTCAAGTTTGGTCATGAATCTCTCCAAATTAATAATTTATTATGATGAAGGAAGAAGGGATTGCCATGTAATATTACAGGAACTCTGAGTAGTGGTGGCGGAGGGGCTCTATTCTGACACATATATTTTTTAATAGAAGATATGTTTGTCTTCATTTAGGTTTTAAGAGCGTGTTCTAGGGAATTTGGTAGCTTAATAAGTATAGCAGGCTTTGTTTATGAGATCTGTAAAGGCAAACAAAATACAGAAATCAATTTGCTCACTGCTGCAGACTATTATTACTATTTCTTTAGGGTATATAGCTCTGGACAAACTTAAATGTTAAATAGGGCTGAATGTGTTACCTACTGGGCACCTTGTGATTCTTCAGGTGGTAGAGCCCAGCTTACAACATTCCCATCCAGCTTGACCAGTGATCAGGAAAGATACAAGCTGAAATCATCAACATTTGAAGGCCAAGCAGTTACTGCTGTTACAGGAAGTTTTTTAAAAAGTGCTAACACCTGGCGAATATCTTCTCCAAATAATTTGGGCTGTTCCATGGCAAATTCATAAATATGGAAAGGACCCTGAAAGTATGAAGCTTAAGAAGTTCAACAATAGTTTCCAGTGTGAGCACATAGCTAGTCCATTCCCACAATTCACCATCAGCTGTTTCTTTTTGATAAAAGTGCATGGCAAGTTCTTTCCTATGATGAAGCAAGGAGAGTATCTTAAGTATTCATGGAGGAGGAGGAACTGTTTTTTATTATATTTGTTGGTCGCACAGTCAGCCAATTCTTTAGACTGGATTTGGCAATTTTATCCACCTATCAAGTCCTTCCCAAGGACCTCTAATAGGCAGATGTTGCTGTTTGATGGTGTTAAAGGTATTGTCACAGGATGTAAGCTGTTCCAAGTAAAGCTGCTTTCTGCAATTGACTGATGGTGATTTTGTTGATGCCAGTGGTGTGCCAGTGGTGCTCCAGATGTTTCAGGATTGCACCCAAGGTGCCTATTACTATTCGTACTATCTCTGCTTTCTTTTGCCACAGTCCTTATTATTATTATTATTATTTAAACTTGTATGCTGCCCAATTCCCAACAACTGTGGCATTGACTGAAAAAAACTTAGTTTTCAGTATTCCACCCACTCCTGTCTTTCTGTAATGTTCTCTGCTTTGTCCTTTTGAAATCCTCAAATCCCAATCTGCATGGATGGGATTTTAATGGCAGCTGTTGAAAATATTTGATTCCAGCTCTGAGTCTTTTTTTGATTATATAGAATAATATATGCATCTAATTTGTTAGTGTAAATCTGCCAATGTAGATGTGATCAGTCACAGTCAGAACATGCTCTATATCATCCCCCAACAATACCAAAAAAAAAAAAAAAATCCACACATAGATTAAGCGTATATGCAACAGACATAAAACTCAGACAAAACATGTACCACACATCCCAAGCAAAACACCAAAACAAACCAAACTAAAACACAGTAAGTAGAACGTTTTTTATTGATCCTTGCTACTCTAATTTTGAATTATTCTTTTGAGAGTTAGCCATGGTTCATATTATGCCTCAGTATCTAACTTTTATTTTTAAGTATGATTGTGTTTCAAACAGTCAACAGAGTCTCTTGAATTTAAGTTGTAAAGGGTGGTGTTTTGCCTTGTACATGCTAGACTTTGCATTATTTTTAATTCTTTAAAATACAACTTAAAGAACAATAAGAAAGGGCATAAGTTCTGATAGGCACTAAAGAAATGTTTTAATTGCCACAGGAACGCTCACAAGAATGCAGGTTAAACAATATTGGTTTTTTAATTATTTATTTAAATTATTTATATGGCCACCCATCTCATAGCAATTACTCTGATTTCTCAACATAATTCAGCTATAAGAATATTTAACACAAATGCATTGCGTTTATAAAGAATTCAGCCAATAAACTAGACGAATATGAGATTTTCACATAATAAAAAGGAAGCTGTGAATTAGAGATAAAATTTCAGTCTTCCTTCTATACAAAGTCTCAAGTACCCTTCTGTGTAATATTGTATCAAAATAGATGAATGCATCTGTCAAAAATACTTTTTATGTGAGAAGATGCTACATTTTCTGTAGTATGTGAAAGACTGTAGAGTTCAAAGGTTATAAAAAAGTTCTGGTGTTTAGTGAGTATATTAACCTTGAGAATTAGATCCTTTAAATTTTTAAAAAAATAACCATTATGCAGCCAATTCCACTTGCTATGATTTTGATTATTACTCATGTTAAAATGACATAGTTTTCTTGGCCACAAGCTTCTAATGAATGTTGGTGTTCATTAAATGTCAAATATCAGTAATCCAAGGTAAACCAACAACATGGAATTTGGGAGCAGAAATGATGGAGTCTACATTCAATCTGTCTTCAGTGCCAGCAGTGCTGTAAGGGATTTCTTGTTTCAGATAGATTTCCTTAGGTAGAGTATCTGAAAGGTTAATGTGAAAGTGGCATAATACGGATTAATGAGTCTTGGCTATGAAGACTACAGAGCCAACAGTGTAAAAGCCTCTTGTCCTGTCTGTATATACAATGAAAGCACTGTGCTTATACATGAGATGAGTCTGAGTAAGAAAGTAGATGTTCAAGAAAACCACTTCGTGACTGCTTTTCTGTCTTCATCAGCTGCTTTGAGGAGGTCTGCTTAGTAAGCTGTGTGGCTTATATTTCATGTTACACAGTAATATATTGATTGTTTTAGAAATGTTGAATCACACAAAGATATACTTGTGTTTCACTTCTTTCATGTCTAAGTCCTGTAGAATTTCCCAAAGGTATATTGGAAATTCTGAAGCTGTCACTTTAAAATAAAGCTTAGTAATATCTTAGTCACTTACTAATTTTTAATATTTCTTTTATTTTCTGCATCCTCTGAAACTAGAGAGCACCTTAGAAAACTGATAAAAATGTGTTTGTTAAGAAAACCTATTTGTTTTCCTGTCAGGACACCTTCAATTTCTAAAGAAAGTCTATATATAATATTAAGTATGTGATGAATCTGTCAGTTGTACTTTAAATAGAATAAACTTTTTTAAACTAGATTATGTGAGGGTACTGGATTTCTTCAGAATCAGTAACATTTTATCAGCTGATTTTCATCAATACCAAAGAGGATCAAATTTTCCTTCTGAAGACACCCCCCGAAGGCTGTTAGCTGCAGAGAACAAATGCCACATGGTTGAATAGAGCACACCTGTACACCCACATTTAATGATTTCGAGAGGCAATTTTCTTTTGTGCTAGGGCAACAATTGAAAGTGCTCTCAATGTCTTTTATTAATTATTTATAATAATGTAAAATCTTACCTACTTTGATTTTTGTAGTAAGACTTGGGGAGTGTCTCATTTTGTTGTAGAAATCCAAACCAATGCATAAGACAGGAAGATAATTGTTGTGGTAACATCTCAGGAGGTGTCCATGTAGGTGTGGGTGGACGTGCATTTGTGTGTATTTCTTTTCAAAGCGGAAGTTCAGATGAAATGGTTGAGCAGACTTTTCCAAAAGAAAAGGAAATATGCACAAATATGCACAAAGTGACTATTGGTTTTATTGTATTTTATGAATCCACTAGATGGTGCTGGTTAGCTTTTGAGGCCATTTTCATTTCAGAAAAAAATTAACGTGCAGTTTTTTGGATAAAATTAGCAGCATATCTAAAATGATTTCCCCATAAGTGAAGTGGGGAAAATTAAAATATAATCAATATTTTAGTTTTTACCTTCAATAATAGATTTTTTTCTCTGTTAAGAAAAGAAAAAAACTTTGAAATTTTTACAGTGCAGTGCAGCATGTTTAGTCAATAACACACAGGTTGGTGTCTTCACTTTTAACATTTTTCCCCTCTCTTTGTTCAGCACTGAGCTGAACAAATCAATCAATGTACACACATATAACATCCATTATAAATACCTTTTCCCCATCTTTTAAAATACATTATATTGTGTTGTGATATAATGACTGTGTGGTGGATTTCTTCTCATATAGTCATGCACAGTCATCAAGGCTAATGTGATTAGGATGTACCTGTCTGAAGGGTTTATGCAGACAAAATACAGATAACAGAAAGCATACTGATTCTCTTTACTGCTGTCAATTTTGGTAAGTTTTAGCCATGCAAGCTGGCATAAGAATTGGTTGAGGGATAAAATATAAATGCTAAACAAATGCATTTGTTTTCAAATTCATGAATAATATATTAGGGTATCATTCAAAAAATAGAAAATGAAACACATTGTGTGCAGGTACTAAGCTACTATTTGTTAATGGTTTCAAGAGAATTTGAATAATGATCATAGTATAGAAGATAGGATTTCTATAGACTAAACTTTTTGATAAAAATATTTAAACAATAGTACACCATTATAAATCAATCTATTTATAAATTCAATTAACTTTAATATGCTATACAATATTATTTTTTGTTTGGTTTTTAGGAGGGTTGGAGACATTGAAAAAACTCCAGCGACTGGTTGTGGATCACAATCAATTGATCAGTTCAAAAGGGCTCTCTGCTACTCCAACTCTACTATATATAGATTGCTCTTTTAACCATCTTACTCATATTGAAGGCATTGAAAACTGTGGTCTTCTTCAGATTCTGAAATTACAGGGAAATAACCTCAATGAGGTAAAAACCTGATGTTCTATGGTAAAACTATATGCCTAATTAAAGAAATCTAAACATTATTAAATATTAACTAAATATTAACTAATTTATTATAAATAAATATATTTTAGCTTATTGAATGTGTTTATGAGTAAATCCAATAACTCCAAATCAAAAAGCACTCATCCTTTGTTTTTGGATAATAAATTTTCATTTTGGACAAATTCTTTCCGGCTCAGAAAAGAAGGCATGTTTTTTTCAACGTTTGGGGTGTTTTATCATCTTGAAAAGGATTTGAACGTTTTCATCATTCAAGTACTCTAACATTTTATATTTAGTATTTGAAAAGGAATGTATAATTCAGAGTTCCATTTTATGTCCTGATTTATGTCCACAGCAGCCCTTTTAATGAAGCTGCATGAGTGAAAATTATCTGTGTTCATTGCACTTAATGATGTAAGCAGATATGTGGGGAAAAAGAATTTTGGACAGATATATATTATAGACACAGACATACATCTATATAGAGAAATACACACACACAAATATATGCACAGTACATGGACTATGCTTTCATTAGCTACTGTTGCCAAAGGGCTCACTGATTTTCTTTATACATGTTTGAGTATATCATGCGAATTTCACAGTGAGCAAAAAGAGGACTGAATATCAAATTGCCTATATGGTAATGTCCTTATATGCGCATCAGGTGTGATATTTAAAATACAATCTGTATTTTTGATTAAGTGTCTCAGAAGTATACCAGAGAGCCAAACAAGTTATGAGAAAGAGCAACTATAAGATGAAAACTAAAGAGTGTTCCCCTGTGAGAAAAGATTGCAGTAGCTGGGAGTTTGTAGCTTGGAGAGAAGAAATTTCAGCTTTCTTAAGGGAGGATTTTTAAGCTTAATTAGAACTATATGAAATAGATATATGACTTTAAATTATTTTCACCCCATCGTTTCCATTTTTCACATGTGTTATTTGTATATACAGTATAGTAATCTGTTTATCAACTGGGTATAATATTTATGGATCTGATTCAGTAAATTCAGTTCTTGCATCATACCTAAATGTTAATATGTCTCAAAACTGTGCTTGTGGTAACCAAAGTAACTTGGCTACCTTTCTCTGGAATTTGATGTAAGTAGTACAGTACTAGTGTAATGAAACACGTTCCCATTCCCTCACTTCACCTTTATATCAGAGACTTTCAGGGCAATCCTACGCAGGTTTACACAGACATAAGTCCCTATGAATTTGATAGCTTTTTGCTGTAATAATTGTATTTAGGATTGCTGCCATAGTAATTATAGCTGGTCTACAATGGTTTGTATTAAATAAAGTAGTAAGTAAAGATTGTTTATGGAGAAAGAATTCAGCTACTCTTGCACTGTTTTGTTAATATATTACTAATTTATATTTAGTTCCCCAACTTGGACAATCATGTTTTGCTAAGAGAATTATATTTGGAAGACAATAACATCTCCACATTGGGAAAACTTCTTGTGTACTGGCTGCCTTTGCTACAGATACTGTTTATCTCACAAAACAGGTAAAACTAAGCATTTTATTGGCAGAAGGGAGTCACTGATCTATTTTTTAACAAAAGGAGGTGGGAAAAAACTAATACACTGCATTTTCCCCACTGATTGCCAGCATGAAACTGCAAGTTAATGACATCTTAGCAGTCACTTAACAAACAAACAAACTACCAAGTGAGCTGGCAGAAGAGTGGTGGAAATTGTTAGCTGGATTTCAGTGATTAGTATATAAGGCAGGAAAATACCAATTATCTTGGACTGAAGGCCACACTTAGCTTTGAATGAATTTTGGAACTTCGTATAACTCTGGGACATCAGATTTTGATGTAAACCGAAAGGATTGGCAGAATCTCAGTCTGATTTTTCATCTGCAAGAATTTATTTTCTACTAATGGCAACTGAGTAAGTTAAATGTAGGGCTGGTTTAGCCAAGATGTTGAAATACCATAAAAGCTAATTGAATAGTAAGAAATGTGGTAAGGGGAACTCATCTATCACAAAGCAATGTGATATATCCATTACTAAGTGATTTCTGTTAATGTTAATTATGGAGTTGTGATTCCATAATTGCCTGGGATAAAATGAAAAATGAAATGCAAATCTGGAATTTTTTTTTTTTAGCCAGGCATCTTTGGCAAGAATAGAAGTATCAAGTATTCACTGATTTTAAAATAAGAATTGTTTGGTTGGAAATATAAGTTAGTTACCTTTTTTAGCACTTGAATTTTTTATGTGCAAAAACAAACAAAAACCAAAACTCTACCTGGTTGATTAAACAGGGAGTCTTATAGAAATTAAATCTCCATTATTGTAAATAAATTGTCCTTCATGTTACTTTTTCATTTATTTACTACTAACATCCTTACCACAGTAACAGGATTTTATAATTTAAATTAGTAAATGTGTCATAACCAAAATTGTATTGCTATGGGTACACCCAAATCTTTTATTGTAAATACTGTACCTGCACTCTTGTAGCCTTAGAATTCTCTACACTGTAGTATTCAAACTACATATTGTAGGTACTGTGTTTTTAAAACAAATTAATGACACAGTACCCTACATTTAATTAATTTTTAGAGCTAAAGAATCTGTGATGAATTGATGGAAGACAAGCTCTGTCATTCCATGCAAATTCACAGCACAAACATAAGCATCGCTATTCATAAATCCAATTGTGTGCAATGTAACTTACTTTCAAGTAAGTGTGCATAGGACTGCAGCTTACATGTTTACTCAGAAGTAAATCTAAGTTAATTCAAAAGGATTTACTCTCAAAAAAGCAGAATACGATTGCAGTCTGAGTCTCAAAAAACCTTTGAAACAGGTGGGTTCTAATTAGGATTTTTTATTTTTTTAAATTTTTGTATTGAACATTATTGAACCCCTTTCATATTTATCTACTTCATTTTTTTCTGGTCTGAACAAAAGATCCTTCTAAGAAAAGAAGCAGATCTGGATGCATCTTTCTGACAGGGATATTTTCCAGATCTGCTTCTTTTTCAGACTTTCTTTTAAAGCTGGAAATATAAAAGCTTAAGCCCAGGATCTTCTGCATATAAATTATATGCTATACTACCAAGCTTTAGGCTGTCGTATATATTTCAGCCCCTGATACTCTCCCATACCCCCCTTAACCACTCTTTTTGATGCTCTGTGTTACAGTTGACAGCTGGTGAAGTGCTTCCTGTTGTGTGGAAGGAAGCACTTTGTCATAATAACTGAGCAGATATCTGGCTGACATTTCTAGTAGCAAAAACTTCCCCTAAGTCTGCTATATGTGTCAACATCTTTAACATAAATCATTTGGCCAAAAGTGAGAATGAGGACAAAGTGAATAGCCATGACTGTAAATATAGCTAGAATGGATGACAGTATCAGCAAAATGTTGATTAAAGCAGTAAAAAAGTAATATATCAGTAGCTGATATTTGTAGTTTCTTTATCAATATAACTATGTTCTAAGCAACTCCATATGCTTTTGCTATTGCATAAGTGATTGGATGTTCTATACAGAAAGGACTGAATGTAATGAAATAAGCTGTTGAAAGAAAAGCTGTTCTTTTGCTTTTATCCTACAGTTGAGGCAGTTGTGTGATTTCTTCCTGAGAGTGTGCACTGAGTGTTATTTCCTCTTTTGTTGATTTCAGGAAGCCCTTATGAATGTTAGGATTGTGAATCCATATATTTGTTAGGACTAAAGGTCCAAATAGGAAAGTCTAATTTGCAAGTGATAAATAAAAAACAAGTCTTCATCTTTAGTTTAGGAAGAATTCATTTTAAAGGTAAACTTTAATGCTGAATAAAGTTTAATTCTCAGAATTTTGATAGGTAATGCCTAAATATTTTTAGAGACATTGCTCGCATTCCAAATATGTATTTGAATGCAAACATTTGGGCAATGTGTCCATTTGACATCACTATCATTGTTAGAAAATTAAGAATTAATTCTAGAGGGATTTTTTCTTCCAAATTTCTGTAAATAATAGTTTACAGAACTAATTTGTACAGTTTCTAGTACAGAAATTATGGTTATGTTTACATATCATATTAAAGTATAATATTGTTTGCTTACTTGCTGGCTTTTGATTTAGCATGTTGTATAATCCCCCCAAATACTGCTTTATATTATGTGTAAACCAGACTATTATCAGCAAATCCTGGCTTAGTAATATATGTAACTCAGCAGGCAACTGGGTACACATAGTATATACAGTCAGGGTTTTCTAAGCTTGGTTGTTGAATAAGTCTAAATTGTCTGGCTTCACACAGCATACTAAGCCAGAAAGAAACAAACCTTTTGAGTGCTACAGGTAATTCCAGTTTCTAAGACTGAAAGAACTACGATTCTACTCAGAGAGTAGTATATGTTAGCCACAAATAAATAAGAATTGCACATATCAATTTTTGTCAACAAAAAGCAGGATCTTTTCATTGGAGTTTCTCAGTGATAGAGGATTCTCTGTGCATATAATTAATTTAAGCACCTAGTTCTCATCTTTCAGCATGCCATGTTTTTCAATTCTTTTGCAGTAACAGTTAATTTTGCTAAACAAGCTCATGTCTAAGAAATTAATGGCTTGTCAGAATTCTTATAAATATACCAGAATAACCTATTTTTGTAATAGATTTAAAATCTTATATCCCTAGCGAAGGCATCAGCAGGATCCATTGTTTTTGTCAAACTGATAAAAATAGTATCACACTGTCATAGTGTATGTTCCACCTCTTTGTATGTGCAAATGATGTCATGATACATATACAAAAGAAGCACAGTTTGCATCACAATGGCACCACACGGCTCTCATCATTTCCTTCCCTTGACACCTCTGCAGACACCTCTGATCACTAGTTATCCATTTTTCGAAGTCCTCCCTATGTTTTAATGATTTCCTCTCTTACACATTTTTTTCATTAGATTCTATTGTTGTTGTTGTTCAGTCGTTAAGTCGTGTCCGACTCTTCGTGACCCCATGAACC